ATCTGAAATTTTGGACAAAAACTATTCCAACAGATTTGTTTTCTTCCCTTTAAATGTTTTGATTGAGAAATATGTCAGAGATATATTTAAATGTAAGGTTATTAAACGGTTAGATGGGGAGCAATGAAATATACTAAGTTAACAATAATTTGGGATCCGCAGGTGGCTTAACGGTTATCGATTGGAAAAGACAAAAATCGGTGAGCTGGGTTCGAATTCCGACCGAGTTTGTTGCGTTCACTTTCGCAGAAATATTCTTGGAAAAGTTCTGATTCTATCCCTTCATTTACCCCTCTATCCAGGCTAAATAATAGCCCTGACTGTGAGGTGGTAACCAATCTAAGATGAAGAAAACTGATATCAAAGTTAGCCAGGAGAGAGATGGGCTCCGTTAGATTATCTTGCTCTAGGCACACCAATACAAGCGGTGACCCTAATGGTTCACAGAACGCATGACATCACAATTACAATTTTATTTCATTGACTTTCGATTTTCATTATCATTCTGAAGATACACTTTCTATTCACCAATATTTTGTGCAAATTTTCTCTCTGAACGTGTTCGTACCAATTACATATTTAAATAGGCGTCCTGTCGTATTCTAAAAAATCACGAGACCTCACGTTATTTCATCGAGACCTTACGAGAAGTGGATCTTGTTATTATTTCTCTTATTATTATTATGTTATTATGATCTTATTATTATTCCTCTAAAATCCTCCTCCTTTTTTTTCTACGCGCTGTGTCCCTTCAGGGCATGGGCAATCGTGTTTCTACACAACTTCTTATCCTTTGTAGCTTTTTGTAATTTTTGTATATTTACCATCCCCCACCGCCACTTCCGTTCCTCTATTCATTCAAATAACATCGTAAGGTAGTTAGGCCACTGCATTCACCTATCCTTTTTGCCTTTGATATGTCCTATAAGTGTCAAATTTTCCAAGCCCCCTTCCTCATTTTGTTACATCGTTTCACTCCAAACAAAGCAATAAAGCCACTAAGACGCAAGTGGTTACTGAATGTAATATGAGAGAATGATAGAATATGAGAAAAAACTACTATTAAGGAGAGAAGACAAATAAGAAAACCAGAATTAAAAAGACAGAAGATAACGATTGACCTTGCATTTAAATTTCTAAAGATCAATGTTGACCGGGAAGGAATAAGCCGAAAGAGAGTTCCACAACCGATAAATGCGATGGAATAAACTGTTAGCATAGAACTTATGGTTATATCTAGCCATTTCAAATGTAAAAAGATGAGACCTATCCGCGAATCCAACTTAAATTCATAAAGTCTAGGTACCATAGAGAAAAGATCATCAGAACAATTACCATGAAATTATTTATAGAAAAGAAAAAATAATCTACGTTACAGCCGTGAGAAAGTGATTGAAGCTAGGATGCCATTTCCATTTTCTACCCTACAACTCCTTTCTTTCAGACGAAACGTTGCAAGCCACTCGCTGCTATCTCGTTAATTCCATGGAAAGTGCTCAGACGAATTCCACTCCTGAATTCCACCATATCTAACCTTCACGGCTAAGACTCACCACAATATGCACATTCTAGCGAGCCCCCTCATTCCCTCCGTGTTTCTGTGATGAGAAGTAAGTTCAGTTCGAACAACTTCTTCCCACCAAACGCTGCTCTGTGGAACCGACTCCCGATCACTACAATCTTAATCTGTTCAAGTCTAGTGTTAACCGTTATCTTTTCCACATAAATTGTGTCTCTTACTCTGTAACCCTTTACTTTGAGTGGTTCCTGGGAACTATACAGGGTGAACATCAATGTAAAAAAAAAATATTTTTCCTTAAGTTTTCCTCGTTGTTTACTCCGCCCATAGTATTCTCAGCATCCTTCTGTGAAACAATATTTCTGTTGACTCTAGTGTTCATCTGTGAGGGAGTTGTCCAGTATTTATGATATGGCAGTAATACTGGATATTTTCTAGGGTGCATAATCAGAAAAGAGTGCTTGTAAAATTTGATACTCACAAGACTGATTGAAGGCAGGATAGACAACAAGAGAAAAACAACATATAATCTATCTAGCGAGCTTTAGTAAATGGATGGCGGAACAATGTTTAGGAGATATAGACAATCCTGAATTCTTTAAAAAAAGTACTAATATTTCATAACTGATATATTCTTGATAAATAAATTTAATATTTGACAAATTTTTAACCCCACTACGCATAGATGGTATTATCTAGGAAATAACAGAACTTAATTAATCATACTTAAGTTGATTCTGTTCCTCTTTGGAGATAAAGTTTAAATAAGGGGCAATAACTCAGTATGATTAAATTGATAATATTGCACGCAGCGAATACTCAGCTTATAAATACGTGTATTACTTTCTTACATTTCTCTCTCTTTTTAATCCTCTCCCTCGCCAACCTCTTTTTGTCTCTCTAGCTCTCACCTCACTCTCTAAAATCTCTCTGCCACGTCTCTTTCTTTTACTTTTTCATTTATCTCTCTTTTATCGCCCTGTTTTTCTTTCTAAAAAAAAAAAACAACAAATTATTGGTATTTAAATCTTTTTTTTTCATATATCGGTTATATTTTCAGTACGGGTAATTCTACAGAAGAATACTGAGAATACCATGGACCGAACATGTGAGCAACGACGAAGTTTTAGAGAAAACGGAAACAAAAAGGGAACATATATTTAATATCAGGAAGAGACAGTTGAAATTTCTAGGGCACGTAATGAGAAAAGAGGGTTTGGAAAATTTGATACTCACTGGACTGATTGAAGGTAGGATGCACAACATATAAACTACCTAGCGAGCTTCAGTAAATGGATGGCGGAACAACGTTTAAGAGATATAAAAAAAAAATTATTAACAGCTACAGATGACAGGAAATTGTGGAGAGCCATGATCACCAACATCCTGAAGAGATAAAAACATATAAAAGAAGAATTAGTCCACCTCATGGTTTATTAATGCTGATAACTAAATCTGAAGGTGCATTGGGATAGCGAAAGATGCCTTTTAAAAGCTAAGCTTTAAGATACAGAAAAAGTTCGTTAGAAACAAAATAAAAGAGTACTGACCTATTATGTAATAACATCTCCCTTATATGTCAGTGAATACTGGACAATATCATCACACCTGAGGAAGAGACTTGAAGCAACAGAAATGTGGTTCTACAGAAGGATACCGAGAATAGCATGGACCTAACATTTGGGCAACGACGAAGTTTTGGAGAAAATGGAAACAAAAAGGACGCTCATACTTAACATTAGGAAGAGATATTTCAAATTTCTAGGGTACATAATGAGGAAATAAGGCTTGGAAAACTTAATACCCACAGGAGAGATTGAAGGCAAGAAGGTCAGAGAAAAACAATGAATAACCTACCTAGCGAGATTGAATAAACAGATGGTGGAGCAGTGTTTAAGGGCAGCTAACAAAAAGACAAAATTTATTAAGAGATATTTAGGACAGGAAATTATGGAGAGCCATGATCACCAACGTTCTGAAGGGAAATGGTACATAGAAGAAGAAAAATCCAAGATTTTTATCTATGCATTTCACACTATTATCGCATTTAAAAAAAGAATTCTGATTTTTCCATCAAGTTTTTAAAAATAGCCAAATGGAATGAAAAGTAACGCAAAAAATATATGTATCCGCAGTTTGGTCTCCCCTACATATTCATAAGATATTCCAATGCCAATAATAATATGAAACATATTCGCTTATTGCCGTCCTCTTACCATGACAACAGAATATGTCGTTACTAAAAAAAGGCAGATTAATCTGTTTGAATAAGAGCTGTAAATCAGTGCTTCGTATGGAAAAGTAATTTGAAACATAACGATAAACGATAAGTATTTCCCCGAATGTCTGCAAGAATTTATAAATGAAAGAATGTTTTAACTACATAAAGACAATATTGAGATCTTTATCTTATTACAAATCAATTAATATATAATCATGAGAAACTTCTTGTGAACTTTCAATTTTATTGAAAAATATTCCCATCATATCTTCGAACATTACTAACCAAAATAAAGACGGATTTAATACAACATTGTAAGGGAAATAACTCTAACAGCCTATAAAAGTAATGATTAAAGGGAAGTAACTGAAATGTTTGCGTAAAAGCAAAAAAAAATATAATAAAATAAAAACGTCACGTCAGGCGCCTCGTAATTCATGAAGGTCATAAAGGGACTATCTTGGTTAAGATAGTCTGACGGAACCCATCCCTCGTGGAGACTGGTTTTCAATTCAGAGTCTTCTTTCTCCTAAATTGGTTGCCACCTAAAGACGAGGAAACCCAATCTGCCTTATTATTTAAAGCGGGAGTCGGCAGCCTTTTAGAGAGAGCTGTCCATAAGGTCTCTCGGAGGAGGGCCATGATATCAAATGTACGATAATAAATTGTTTCAATCACAAACCGCTCTGTCCAGAAAGCTGCATTTGTCTGGATGTTTAAAGAAAAAATAACAACGTTAATGTTATATTATTTAAACAAGGTTCTTTATTTTACTGCAGGAATAACAGGATAACAACTAACACAATCAAGAAAAAAAAGAAAATTCCTTACTACAAATGAAATACAGTTAGAAATGGCAAATTATCTAAAAGCTACAAAAGACAGGAAATTGTGGAGAATCATAATCGCCAACATCCTATAGGGACACAGCACATAAAAGAAGAATTAGTCCACCTCATGGCTTATTAATGCTGATTACTAAATCCGAAGGCGCATTGGGATAGCGAAAGATGCTTTTCGAAAACTAAGCCAAGTATTAAGTTTATGCTTATTGTTTGATAACTTCTCCACATCAGGTGAAATATTTGTCGATGACAGGAGCAAAACATCATCCAGGTGGTCATCACCTAACCTTGTTCTTAAACGACTTTTGGTATATTTCATTTTCGAAAAAAGTTATTCACAAGCATATGTTCTTGCAAATAATGATACCATCATTTTAGCATTATTCAATAGGCTTTATATTTTCTGTATTGACAAAACATATTTCTTGTAGAAGTCAGAAGTAGATTCGAAATTAATTTTGATTTAAAAAATTCGTGGCATTGTAAGTCAACTAACACCAATTGATATTTTTTCTGCCACTTACTCAAAAAAATTAATTAAGTTGACGGCCCCGATAAAAATTATTTACGGGCCGGATATGACCCGGGGACCGGAGGTTGCTGTTCTCTGATTTAAAGCATAAAGAAAAATCAAATTAGGAAAATCAATTCATGCCTTTACCAAGTGCATTAGTATTAAGTAGGTACTACCACAGATTCACGATACCTGAGGTTCAAAATGAATTCTTAAAAATTAAAAATGAATTCTTAAAAATTTTAAATGAATTCTTAAAAATTAAAAACTGGTTCAAACTTTACATACATCCCACATTTGCGAGGAACAGGTACTTTGCATGTCTGTGTTCTCAACCGAGTCTCTATCCGTAGACAGAGTCGTGACTGAGTCACCCTTTGTCCGAAGACAGAAGTCTTGTCATTCGCGAGGCAGGTAGCGAAATGTCTGGGTCGAAACGATTAGCTATTCACCCAGTCCTCCCACTGGTGTGAGATGTGACACGATGTCTGGATTATTGTGGGGACCCAAGCGTGTCTACTCAGGCCAATGGTCAAAATTTACCCAGCCATCTCTAAAGCGTGTATTACATGTCTTTCTCAGCCGAGTGACTATCCGAAGACAGAGCCTCGACTGGGCCACCCTCTGTCAGATGACAAAGCTCTTGTCAGTAGCCAGCCAGACAGCGAACTGCCTAGGTCGAAGCGAGTAGGTATTTGCCCATGTCACCCGCTGAGACGGGATGCGACACAGGGTCAGATTGAACCCAAGCGTGAACACTCCGGCAACTAGTCCAAAATTTGCCCAATCCCCACAACTGCAGAGAATGGGTACTTTGCTTGTCTATTTTTCGCAGCTGAGTCTCTAACCGAGTCGCTTTCTGTCCGAAGACAGAGGTTTTGCCAGTCGGGAGCCAGACGGCGAACTGCGCCTGTGTCGAAGCCAGGATGTATTTGTCCATGCTTCCTCACTGAGACGGGATGCAACACAAGGTCAGGCTTAACGTGGGGAACACGAGCGCGAACACTCGGGCAACTGGTTCAAAATTTACCCATTCAACACAGTTGCGGGGAAAGGATACTTTGCTTGTCTGGTTTCTCGGCTCAGTCTCCATCCGAAGACAGAGTCTTGACGGTGTCATCCTCTACTCGAAGAGGGAGATCTTGTCAGTCGCTAGCCAGGAAGCGAGCTGCTTGGGTCAAATCGACTAGGTATTACTCAGGCTTCCCCACTGAGCCAGGATGCGACACAAAGTCAAGCTTAACGTGAGAAACACGAGCGCGATCACTACTATTCTTATCTTTCCTGGAGGTTTTTTTTTGTAAGAAACTAGTTTATATAGTCAACCGGGGTAATATTCACTCTAAAACATCCCCACATTTGAGATTTATATTTTTATAAGTATTTTATTTTTTATTGGTATTAATATCTCCCTTCTACTCTGTCTGTAGAGTTCACCAACGTTCTTGTTTTTTTAAGATTTCCGTTTCGGATCCACTTCCAGTTCTTCAATACGCTTTCTTTTTTCTGGAATTTGTCCTTGTAGATTTGTTGTGGTGTGGCACATCTAAAACGTCATATAGCATTTTTATTGGTTCTTCCAATATTACACATTTTTCACCAATTAATTTTTTTTTCGGATGATTATGGAGCCTTTTATGCTCGAGTTGTTTCCCTTCCACCATGTAAATTAACTTCTTTATTCTTGCCGTCTTCCCATGATTCTTTGCCATCCTTATATAATCTATAGAACACTTTATCGCCGATTTTGAAACTTTGGATGTCGCTTTTGTTAACCGTTCGTGTTTTTCGTCTTTGTATCAACTTGTCGAACACCGATTTTACTCTTCTGACAAAAATTTATTCCGCCGACGACATGCCTGATGGTGTGTTGGAGTTAGGTGTTACCCGGTAAACTCTCAGAAAATTTTTAAGTAAAATTTCTCAAGACTTACTTTCTTCAACGCTCCTTTGAACGTTCCCCCAAACCGTTCAGTTTGTTCGTTAGATCTTGGATGATACGGCGGGTTTGTATTAGGTTGGTGCAAAAATAATAACGTAAGAATGTCGTTTTTTGACGTTAAAAAATACGTCAAAAAAACGACATTATTACGTCATTATTTTTGCACCAACCTAATAACATGTTCAATGGATAACATTGTAGAGGACTGTTGGGTTTGAGTGTTGTTGAATTAGAGACACGTGCTGTTTATTCCTACCAGAAGTAGGTCCGGCTACAAGAAAATGACGGACTCGAGTTGTGTCCAACCGAAGATGTAAAGACAAACAAAACCGATATATATATATATATATATATATATATATATATATATATATATGTAACTATACTCGTTTCGAAAAACCCTCGAATTTTTGATTTGCCAATAATCAAATCAATCTCGAAGGAAAAAAAAGGTTTTAA